GCAGTTAGCCCATTATCCGTCATAGAAGCAAACAACAATGGAAGTATTCAATGTATCCAAGTTAGGTTTTATGAATTGTGTATGTGAGTTTCGATATTTTATGAAAAGATTCCATAGTGCAGACTGGCAAACACTATTTTAAAACATAAAGGTTTGCACTTCACTATGCAACACTAAATATTTATTGACTCCTCATATGGTCGGTCAATTTTATTTATAATTTAAGACTTTAGTTTTCTTATGATATAGGAAAAATAATTCAAACTAGTTATGTATTAAATATTCAAATAAAGTAGAATTGAGCTTTAAAAATGAATAATGCTATTCGCTGTAGATTACTACGATAATCTTTTTAAGTGACATAAATATAATAAGCGATTATTTGATGCACGAGTCAATAAAAAAACTCGCCATGTTACTCTTTAGAAATAAATAAAAGGGAGAAGTTGGGGCTTATACTTCGGTTCTTCCCCAAGATGGATAGTGAAAGAGAATCGGCATTGCCGCCTCATGTATTCATATTCCCCTTACCAATTCAAGGGCCAGTCAACTGTATGCTAAAACTTACAGAGCTCTTCTGTATTAATGGCCTGAAAGTAACTTTCCTAAACTCACAACACATCCAACGTTGTTTATCAAGCTGCACTAATACTGAATCATACTTTCAACGCTATCCCAATTTTCGATTTGAAACCGTGCCGGATGGCCTTCCCGAAGACAATCCCCGCACAGTCAATGAATTTTTCGAGATGTTGGATTCTATGAAAGCTGTGGGTGTGCCACTATTTCGGGAAATGGTAACTTCTGGTCCTTATGGTCCCAACTCTGAGAACCCAATCACTTGCATGGTGGCCGATGGAGCATTCTGCTTTGCAGTTGATATTGCTAAACAGATTGGGGTTCCGCTCCTTTATTTCGATACTATTAGCCCTTGTTGTCTATGGACTTATCCCTGCCTTCCCAAATTCATTGAAGCTGACGAGTTTCCTTTCAAAGGTGAGTTGTAAAAGAAATATGAAATATGTAGGAAGAAGACGGCTCAATTATGAAGAACTGAATTAGAAATTTGTAGAAGAAGATACATCTT